TGCCACCCTGCTAGGCTTAAAATGTGCCATCCCAGAGGTGGAAAGGGGGATCTTGCTATCACAAGAAGAGATGGGAGAGGAGTGCAACCTTTAGGTCCAGGATCCCTGTGCTGGGAACCTTATTGACCTGAGAGGCAGTGACAGACAGTGAGAAGGAGGGGCGGAGAAGCAGACACAACAGAACCAAGAGACGACAGGAGACAGCACGCCTGGCGGGCTTCTGGACCCACCGAGCAACAAAGCCGAGCACCTGCTGCGGCTGAGCTCGCCGGCCGAGGGGGCTGCACGAGCTTTTTAACAGTTGCCCAGGCAGGGCAGCGAGGGCGAGAGAGAGAGGCCTGCGTGCCTGTAAGCACATGGTGGAGGAGAGGCTGTCCTGGTCAAAGAAATGTATCCTGAGTTTATGATCATGAAATCTAACGTGTTCCTTCCCTAATAAACCCCACAATCGTTGAGTATTGTCTGTGAGTTCTGTGCAGCCAGGGCAATGAATTATCAACCCCAGCAGAGAAGTAGAGCGTGCTGGAGGGAGGGGTGGTGTCAGAATTGGTGAAAAGGGTGCAGAGTGGGAGCAAGTGGGACCTCCCTCCAGGGGAATCAGCCTGGGGCTGCTGATTCCAATGAAGATTCTACTGCCTTGTGAAGTTAGAGGTCACACCCCACACTACTGACACATCAACGGGTCTCCTTTTTTGGACTTAATAGCTCAAGATTTCTCAAGTTTCAGTAATATGCAGACTAGCTGAAAAAAATGACTGTGGAACCTCAGAAATATGTGGGTCTCCAGGAGCCTCCGTATCATATGCCAGCTTGACAAATGGAAGGAACAAGTTTCTTGTCCCACAGACACATTTTTAATGGAGAAGCTGCGAAAGAGACATTCTGTCCTGTAAGTGGGGAAATAACCGTGAGGACAACATGCATAGCCAGAGCGTGTTGGTCACCCCATCAACGGGGCAAAAATGACAACTATTCATACTGTAATTTGTTACGGTTCACATTCAGGAGCGGCAAAGAAAACATTAAAGGATGGTGTGCCTACACACAGAGGGCAGATCTCCAGGTAACTTGCTATGATGCATCCTTAGGGAAACAAAGAGTACAGTTCAAAACCTAATTCTGGTATCTTACAACCAGTAAGCAAAAACTCACCTCTGGTTTGGGGAGAAAAGCTTGCCCTGGAATCGTGAAGACGTGCTGGACGTGGCAGAGGTACTGGGCCATGATGGAGAGCCGACTGCGCTGTGTGCTTCCTGTGCTGGCTGTAAGCCTCTAGGGAGAACAAGAGCGGGTGTCAGCAGTAACTAGCGCAGCCTGGCCACAGGGGTGGCTGGGAGCGCCCCACTCTGTGAAGGCCAGGTGGATTTTTCCAGGCAGGTTTTAGAAGCAGAGGCTGTCTTCCACATGCCAGCTAGTCAGCCCGGGAACACTGGCCTCCCACGTGAACTGAGCTACGACCAAGAACTGAGTTCTACCACAGAAAGGACTCCAAGCGTCGGCTAGAAGACCCTCCCCATCGCTGGCTACTTGGGATTCTCAAAACCCTGCTCTATTCTGTAGCAGAAGGCCTTGCATAAAGCAAGCACTCAATAAACATCTGATGAATGACAAAATGCACAAGCATAAAGAAGTAAAGATGTTTAGTTTTTTAATTTTCTGAATTACTCCCAATATATGAATGAATACTTTTGATGGTTATCTTTTTTCACTTGTTGTTGCTGTTGTTGTTATGTGCCGTCGAGTCAAACCCGACTCATAGCGACCCCTCCTTGGGTTTCCGAGGCAGTATCACTACGAAAGTAGGATTGCCCAACCTTCCTTCCGAGGAGTGGCTGATGGGTTTGAACCGTCAGCCGTCTGGTTAGCAGGCAAGTGTCTTAGCCACTATGCTACCAGAGCTCCCTTAGATGTAATAAAACCTTGATTATTCAGAATCCTTGGAGAATCAGCTTTTTTGTCTGTTTGTTTGTTTTTTTGTAGTTTGGTATGAAAAACAGAATTAGATGTTCTTGACAACTAATTTTTATAAAAAAAGTAAGAATTTATTCTTTTAAGCATTCTAATACTTTTTATTTTAAAACTGGGAATCTCCAAATTAAGCCATAAATGCAGTGCACCTTCAGTAAAAAATCCCAACAAGATTAAAAACCAATAAATAAACTTGAGAGGCTGGTGGAAAATTTATGTGGAAAAGCAAATGGTCAAGAACAGATGGGCCATTCTTGACCAAACATCCACCATGCTATGGGCAGGCAGGGACTTACCTACCTGACCCTTTGTCACTGGGTCACTAGTGACCATGTAGGTCAGAGTAGAACTGCCCCACAGGGTTTCTAAGGTTGTGATCTCTATGGGAGCAGACTGCCACATCTTTCTACCCTGTGAAGCTTGTGGGTTCAAACCTCCCACTTTTTGGTTAGCAGTTGAGTGCTTAATCAGGGCTCCTTGAACTCACCTTACTCGCCAACAAAATTAAGGCAGTATGGTATTGCTACAGGCACAGACAAACAGACCAATGGACAGAGGCCTCAGAAGCAGACCTAAGCACATGTGGAATGTGACACATGACAGATGTGACAGCAATGCTAATGGGAAAAGAATGGACATTCAATCAGTGGTCGTGGTCTAAATGGGAAAAACTAGGTCCCTTCCTAATATCACAGGAACCTTGGTGAAGCAAAGATTAAGTGCTTGGCTACTAATGGGTAGGCTGGCAGTTCAAATTCACTAGCTGCTCAGCAGGAGAAAAGACCTTGCAATCTGTTCCCGTCAAGATTTCGGCCTATAAACCCCAAGGGGCAATTCTACTCTGTCCTACAGAGTGGCTATGAGTCAGAATTGAGTTGATGACACACAATAACAACAATCTCATCCCACAACTAAAAATAAATCTAACTGAATTAGAGATACAAAGTTAAAACAAACTTTCAAATTTTTAGAAGTAAATATCCATGAAACTCCCCCATTCCCCCCGGTTAAGGAAGAATTCCTTGAAAGGCCCCAAAGCACAAGGCATAATGATAGAAAAGACTGATAAGTTTTCCTCTATAAAAATTTAAAATTTCTGTACAATGGTAACAATAAGTCATAGAGTGAGGGAAAGTATTTGAAACTCATAGATCTGATAAGAAGGAGCTCCAGTGGTATAGTGGTTAAGGCATTTGGCTACCAACCAGAGGTCAGTGGTTCAAACCCCCCAGGAGCTCCGTGGAAGAAAAATGAGGCAATCTGCTTCCGTAAAGATTTATAGCCCTGGAAACGCAATGGCTGTTGCTATAGGTTGGAATTGACTTGATGGCAGTGACTTTAGTCTTTCTGATATATCTGACAAAGGATTAGTGTTCAGAATAGGAAAGAAACTCCTACATATTACTACCACTGCTTGTCTCTCAGAAACCTGGAAGACAGCTACCTGGCCAACCAACTGAAAGAGATACATATTTGTGCCCAATAAAGAAAGATGATCCAACAGAATGTAGAAATTATCAAATAATACCATTGATATCACACACAAGTAAAATTTTGCTGAAGATAATTCAAAAGTGCTTATAGCAGTACATGGACAGGGAACTACCAGAAATTCAAGTCTGATTCAGAAAAGGAACTGGAGCAAAGGATATCCTGTTGGTGTCAGATGGATCTTCACTGAAGGCAAAGATGTTTACCTGTGTTCTACTGACTATGTAAAGGCATCTGACTGTGGGGATCATAACAAATTATGGATAACACTGTGAAGAATGGGAATTCCAGAACAATTATACTCATGAGGAACCTGTATATAAACCAAGAGGCAGTGGTTCAAACAGAACAAATGGATACTGCTTGGTTTAAAATCAGAAAACGTGTGTGTCAGGGTTGTGATCTTTCACCAGTTATTCAATCTGTATGCTGAGCAAATAATCTGAGAAGCTGGCCCATATGAAAAAGAATGCGGCATCAGGATTGGAGGAGGACTAACAACCTGCAATATGCCTTGGATGCAACCTTGCTTGCTGAAAGTGAAGACCTGAAGGACATACTGATGAAGATCAAAGACGACAGCCTTCAGAATGGATCACACTCAACATCAAGAAAGCGAATTCCACACAACAGGACCAGTAAGCAACATCAAAATAAATGGAGAAAAGACTGAAGTTGTCAAAGATTTCATTCTACTTGGATCCACAATCAACATCCATGGAAGCAGCAGTCAAGAAAACAGACATCATATTGCACTGGGCAGACCTGCTGCTAGGGGCCTCTTTAAAGGGTTAAGTCACTTCGAAGACTAAGGTGCTCTTCATCCAAGCCATAGTATTTCAGTTGCCTCATACGCATGTGAAAGCTGGACAATGAATAAGGAAGACTGAGGAAGAACTGATGCCTTTGAATCCTGGTATTGGTGAACTGTGGATTGCCAGAAGAGTAAACAAATCTGTCCTGGAAGAACTACAGCTCGAATGCTCCTTAGAAGCAAGACTGGCCAGTTTGTCTTGCTTTGATTATGTTGTCAGAAGGGACCAGTCCCTGAAGAAGATTATTATGCTTGCTAACCAGAAGGCTGGTGGTTCAAACCCACCAGCCGCTCCTCAGAAGGAAGGTTGGGCACTCTACTTCTGTAGTTATACCAACTTGGAAACCTAAAGAGGTGTTGCTATGAGTCGGGTCCAACTCGACAGCACATAACAAAAACAACAACAAAGTAGAGGATCAGAAGAAAAGAGGAAGACCTCAACAGGATGGACTGACAGGGAGTCAAGCAGCAATGAACTCAAGCATAGCAAGAACTATGAGCGTGATGCAGGGCAGGGCACTTTCTTGCTCTGTTGTACACAGGGCCACTGTGAGTCAGAGCTGATTCAAAGGTACCAAACAACAACAACAAATCACTAATCAAAAGATAAACTTTTGTATTTCAACTTTTATTTTGTTGTTGTGCAAACATACACTAATTCAACAGTTTCTACACGTACCATTTAGTGAGACTATGACATTCTTTGAGTTGCACATCCATTCTCACCCTCCTTTCTGAGTTGTTCCTCCCCTATTGACATAAATTAACTGCTTACTAAGGTTCTGCTAACCAGAGGGCTGGCGGTTCAAACCCACCAGCCACTCCTCGGGAGGAAGGTTGGGCAATCTACTTCCGTAGTGATACCGCCTCGGAAACCCAAGGAGGGGTCGCTATGAGTCAGGTCCAATTCGAAGGCAGTGGGTTTGGTTTGGTTTGGAAGACTCCTATCTAATCTTTAAGTCGCTGTTGTCACTATGATGCCATGTGACATTTCTTAAAAGAGCGTAACACTCAAGGCTGACATTTTTCCTAGGGAGTCTAAACTACTGTTTGGCTTTAAGAAGACTTCAGGTGATTTCTGGTTTAAGATTTAAATGTTATCTGAGGGTATTAATTTTAGGGGTTCACCCAACTTTCATGGTTCTAAGATTCCTGGGTTCCATAAGACTTTGGCATTCTGTTCTGCATTTTCCCCCTTTTGGTCAGGATTCTTCTATAGAATCTTTGATCAAAAGGTTCAGTTATGATGGGTAGCCACCATCCAGTCTTCTGCTCTTGTGGCAAAGGAGGCAGTTAAAAAATAAACTTATTAATAGACCATATTATAAGATTCACAGAAGAGCAACCCAAACGAACTATATAACCATAAAATACGCTTGACCATGTTAGAAATGAGGAAAATGCAAATTAAATCCACCATGAGATACAAATGCATACCATGAAATGAGCAAAATTTAAAAAAGAAAAACAAAAAGAATCTGGCAAAGCCTAGTACTGACACGTATATGGAACACCAGGAGCTCTCATACTCTGCTAAGGGGAAGAAAATGGTACAAGCACGTGGGGTGCAACTGGGCAACAGAGAGCAAAGCTGAGGCTGCGTAAACCCTCAGGACTCTTTAGATCCCCCTTTAGCAAAAATCCTAAAGAACGTTTTACACACTTGCACAAGGAGTTATGTAGAAGAATGGTCAGTGCAACATTTGTTGTTAGTTGGTTGCCACTGAGTGGGCTCTGACTCATAGCAACCCTACGTACAACCGGACAAAACCCTGCCTGGTTCTGCACCATCCTCACAATTGCTGCCTTACTTAACCCCACTGTTGCAGCCACTGTGTCAATCCATCTTGTTAAGGACCTTCCCCCTTTTCACTGACTCTACTTTATCAAGCATAATATCCTTCTCCAGAGACTGGTCCCTCCCGGTAATAGAGCCAAAGCACATGAGATGAAGTGTGGCCATTCTCCTGGTAAGGAACACGATGGCTGCACTTCTTCC